CGTTAAAGTATAGGACTGATTCTATCTGTCGACAAGAACTGACTAAAATATAGTAATAAACAAAGAAATATGCTTTGTGTTGAAATTGAATTTATATAGAAAATGTGTCACTGGGATATAATAGTAAATAAACAACAAACTATTTAATTTATCTACTGTAGGTCATTTTTCAGTGTGGTAGTTTAAAAAATAGTTATTACCTTTATATATTACAAATTCAGGAACAACGTAGTAGTAGTGAACATCTACTGTAAGTTTGATAAAGCGTACTTGTTAGTAAAACACAGTTGATGACTCTACCTACTATAGGCTCAGCTACAGTGCAGTAGTGAATAAAACCATAACTTTTGACTACCTACTGTAAGTTCTAGTACACCGTAATAGTTACCCAAACATAACTGATGACTCTATCCACTGCAGCTTCAGGTACAGCGTAGCGTTTAACAAAACATAACTGTTGACCACTTATTTTAGGATATAGTACAGCGTAGTAGTGAACAAGACATAACGTTCTGATTCTACACACTGCAGGTTCTGGTACAGAATAAAAGTAAATAAACGATAGATAATAGTTATACCTATTGTAAGGTTTGAAATAATTTAGAAACTGTTCTGTTCCACTTACCGTAGGTTCCGGTACAGCGTAATTCTGAAGAAACATAACTGTTGACCACCTACTGTAAGTTCTGATAAAGCATAGTAGTTAGTAAAGCACAGTTGATGACTCTACGTACTATAGGCTCAGCTATAGCGTAGTAGTGAACAAAACCATAACTCTTGATTACCTACTGTAGGTTGTAGTACACCGTAATTGTTACCAAAACATAACTGATTACTCTACCCACTGCAGGTTCTGGTACAGAACAAAAATAAATAAACGATAGATAATAGTTATGCCTATTGTAAGGTTTGAAACAATTTAGAAACTGTTCTGTTCCACTTACCTCAGGTTCCGGTACAGCGTAGTTGTGAACAAGACAAAACGTTCTGATTCTACACACTGCAGGTTATGCCTATTGTAAGGTGTGAAACAATTTATAAACTGTTCTGTTCCACTTACCGTAGGTTCCGGTACAGCGTAGTTGTGAAGAAACAGTATATGATCGGGTTTGCTGCACTGTTGAGGGGTGCTAGACTTTGAACAAATGTTGACACTGCAATGGTAGTCTGATTGTGTCTAATGTAGCCGAACACTTGAAGTAAATCGTAGACAAAATATGGACTCCAGCACAGAATAAAAACTTGAAGCAAAATATTAATGGACAGCAATTAATGTAACAATTGCCCAGAATAAACATTCGAAGTAAAATGTTATTGAATAACAATTAATATAACGAGTGCGTTGTCGTAACAGCTTTTGTACAGCTACTAAACACAAATAATCTATTTAACGAATTCTGTACAATGCATAACATTCTAAATATATGTTGTTAAAGAGAGTATCGTCATAACTACTAAATAAAAATATTTTAGCTTTGAGTTTATAAGTAGTTTGTACTACTAACAGCCAAATAAACATTGTAAATATTTATATAAACATAACTCTAAATAGTCATCAATGAGTGCAGGAGAACTGGAAAACAATATCTCGTCGCCACTGGTTATGACAAATATAGTGTTATTGATATACGTATTATATATAATATTATTTGCTTTTAGTCTTAAGTTCTTAGAATTATATTGAGATAGCTATTCAATTTTGCGCTCATGTGTATCTCTGAGCTTCAAAAGGCCAAATCCAATCCATAAGGATTAGGTTCATATCAATGAGCGTTCTATTTCAAGAATAAGCCTTAATTCGCAGCATTAATGGCCAGTTTTGTCCTAATGATATAGACGTAAAGTCATAATTAGAGTTAGTATTTAAGTAATATGTCATTAAGATACATAGAAAAAATATCATATTTTGATAGTTTCAGGTCATTAGGGTAAAATATAAACATAATGGCCGACGTGTACATTCTGTTGCAAGGGAAGGCTGTTCTATATATTGGTTTGTTTTGAATTTTGCGCAAATCTTCTCTAAATAGCAGTGAAAAACTAGAAGGAAGGCAGCTAGTCATAACCACCCACAGCCAACTCTTGGGCTACTCTTTTACCAACAAATAGTGAGTTTGACAGTCACATTATAACGCCCCCACGGCTGAAAAAGGACGAGCAAATTTGGTGGGACGGGGATTCGAACCCGCTACCCTCAGATTGAAGGGCAAGTGCCTTAATTACCTGACCATGCCGGGCCAGTGTTCTATACAAAAGCCCCCCAGTGGCATGTCTGCGGACTTACAACGCTAGAAACCGGGTTTCGATAGCTGTGGTGGGCAGAGCACAGATAGCCCTTTTTGTAGCTTTGTGCTTAACTACAAACAAACAAATCCATAGAAATGTTATATTTCCATAAACAGAGGAGATAATTATAAAATATATTTTCGCGTGTTTTACTACTTTCATTATAAGAACATTTCATGTAAACTATAATTTCATTGTAATATTTTAACTTTCTAAAGTATTATTTCTGAAACAATACTAATCTACTACTCATAAAGTATTTAAAAATAACGTCATTTAAAATGATGTTAAATATACAGTTTGGAGTGTTTAAGCTAGAATTTAACAGAAGAACATCTCCATACAGTATGTTACGCACATTAAAATATGTATTCAATACAAACTGTGGGGGAGGGTGAAATATGGTGGTCAAAGTCAAAAAATTATGTAAGGATAATGAGGTAAATCTGGACTATTTAACAACTGTTTCATGTATAAGGCTTGTTTTATTTTTAACCTCACTTATACCAAAGACACACAAAAAATTGTTGCTTTTATTAATTTTCATCTTTAATAATAAAATTAATAGATTTATGAATATATAAAAATGGAAAAAGAATACATAAACGCAAAGATTATTTGTTTGAAGTTCAACACAAAGCTATACAATGGGCTATCTGTGCTCTGCCCACCACGAGTATCGAAACCCGATTTCTAGCGTTGTAAGTCCGCAGACATAGCGCTCTTCCACTGGGGGCAAATGCAAAGAACAGATCAAAAGAAAGGGAATAGCAAAATGGTCATTCAGAGTGACATTTATGACCTCAAGGTATCATGGGTTGAAACAGAATTCATTTTCTGCATTATAAAACGGCTCCAGTGGCTCAGTGGTAAGCCTAAAGTCTTATAATTTCCATACCAGTGATGATCACAGCGCAGATAGCACATTGTGTAGCATTTTGCTTAACAACAAACATAAGCGTTATTTGTTTGTTTTTTTTAATTTCGCGCAAAGCTACACGAGGGCTATCTGCGCTAGCCGTCCCTAATTTAGCAGTGTAAGACTAAAGGGAAGGCAGCTACTCATCACCACCCACCGCCAACTCTTGGGCTACTCTTTTACCAACGAATAGTGGGATTGACCGTCACATTATAACGTCCCCACGGCTGAAAGGGCGAGCATGTTTGGTGGGACGGGGATTTGAACCCGCGACCCGCAGATTGCGAGTCGCGCGCCCTAACCACCATAAGCGTTATAAAACATATAACTCTAAATATTCAGAAAGAAAAGTAAAACTTTGAAAATGAAACACAGTGAAGTGAGAAGAATTGTAATGTTTTATATTTAATGTTTACAAAAATAAGCATTTCAAGTTTAAAGTTGGATAGGGTCGCACAAATATTTCAAAACAGTATTCTACTTATATCTTATATGGAATGCAAGTCAAAATATTCTACAATTAGTTGACTAAAGTAAATAACAATCACTTATAATGCATTTGAAAGTTCAAGTTTCAACTGATCTAATTTCACACCTGTGGAAACAATTAATGTCAAAGTGGATTATTATTTTTCTAAATCTGTATTGTACTTGGAATATTCAAACTGATAAGATAAATATTGAAATAGTTCAGTCTTCTTAGGCTACAATGGTACCATTTAAGACATTCAAACTATATATTTTTTTCTCATTAACAATATTTGATAGGGTTAACCATATAGCTTTGTCACGACAGGTTGTAGTACTAGATCAACCATATAGCTTTGTCATGACAGGTTGTAAAACTAGATCAACCATATAGCTTTGTCATAACAGGTTGCAGTACTAGATCAACCATATAGCTTTGTCATGACAGATTGTAAAACTAGCTCAACCATATAGCTTTGTCATAACAGGTTGTAAAACTAAGCATTAACTGTAAGAAATGAGAAGTAGTAACACAAATCATATAGTTTCTCAGCTCTCAATAATATCTAAAACAAGTTAATGTATTCATATTGGATATAAGCTGGGTTCTAAACCAACAGTAATGAATCAATTGAGTTGAAGGTCAAGAACATGAGTATAATTGAAAGCTAATAGTCTTATACTTAACTAATAAGATTTACTATCTGAAATAAGCTAAAGCTATATTCAGTTAATTCTGTACTTAACTGTATGCTGAGATTAAATCATGTCTCATGTACCCGGAGAGTTAGCACAAACACAAGTTATTACTTATATATATATATATACATAACTTTATGTACAGATATGCACTTGTTTTTAATCACTCGCATCTGATATTAGATTGTATTACGTATTAAGTTATAAACTGTTTTTAATTATTTAGGACACCACAACCATCTGAATCTATAAGTAGCTGATAATGCCGACTACATACATTTATTGAAGGTATAATAAATGAACTAACTTGATTCAATGCCATTAACCCTAAATTGGACTAAGTTGATTGTAGAGAGGCTAATTTTTTATTGGGCCCTCCACGCACATTTACAGAACATTCTGTTCGATTGCATATGTAAAATAGACTGATTTGTGTATATTGGTATTTTTCTGCTCGAGTTAATATGGATTACATATTGTATAAATTGAGAGTTTTTCGTCACTAAAACCAAATTTTACGACACACTTTCCAACGCAAAATATTGTATGGTTGGTTTGATAGTAGCTTGTATTTATTATGATAAGCAAAACAAAATTTCTTTGTACTTAAAATACAACTGTGGCTGGCTTGAAAAATATCAAAATATACGTACAATTTCTGTTTGGTTTGTCGATCAGTTTAAAATGATCAATCAATTCTAATTCAAACGTAGTTTCAAGAATATGAAACGATCATCGTTATTATGAATAAACGGAAGAAATGTTTGTTGTAAACCCATGACCAAAAGACCTTTGACCATGACCTTTTTCATTCTATAGAATGAAGTGATCTTACTTTATTCAGATTTATAACAAAAACAGTGATAATCCAAATTGGTATATAACTGTGTCAGGTATTTCACTTGAGCGATTTGCAAATTTTCATGTATCAGAGTACTTTCCTACTTCAGGAAAGTAGATTATCATATGTAAAGCCATGTTTTTTAACACCCCCCAAAAACATATATCGTTATCAGATGATATGTAAGAATGTGTTTATTTGAAACTCGATATTCTCGATATTTTTAAACTTTCGTGTACCAGAGCACGTTCCTACTTCAGGAAACTAGATAAACGATTATCATATGTAAGGCCATGTTTTTACCCCCCCCCCAAAAAAAAACATATATCATTATCAGATGATACCTAAGAATGCGTTTATTTGAAACTCGACTTTCTTCAATCTCGTTTTTATTTTTATTTTTATAATTATTTTTTGTTTATTTGTTTGTTGTAAAGAGCAAAGCTACACAATGGCTAGCTGGTGTTCTGCCCACCGCGGATATCAAAACACGATTTTTAGCGTTATAAACCCACCGATTTACCGTTGAGCCACCGAGGAAGGAATTATCTTATGAAAAGAATGATATACCAACACATTTGACGTCATCAAGAGCTCTGAAAAGTATTTTATTAAAATATTCACTCCAAAATGTACGCCTTTCCTGTAATGTTCGTGCACCTTTTGTTCCATGATGTGAGAAAATCTATCCACGATTTGATATTACTAAACCTAGCGAATTTTTGAAAGAAAGTTTAAAACTAACAACAATTCGATCTTAATAAAGCAACTGAGGTTGTTAACGATGTATACGTTCGAGTGAATTCGGAACAATTTTTTTTGAAAACATAAGAACAGTTAAGAAGGCTTGAAAAGTTCATTAAAGGTAAATATCTATAAAAAAGAAAAACTGGTGAAACTTAAATTCTAGATTAACATTCAATAATCACATCCATTTTTAGTTATTTGACTAAAGAAGCTGATCTATAACCCTTTGGCATATTATGAATATGTTTCGTGAAAGTCTTTTGTCACATTAAACGTTGCGTGATGAATAACTAAACATGTATATCAAGTTTTATTTAAATAACCCGAATAATCTTTGTAGAAACAGCAATAGCATTAAGCGATACGTTCAGATATTTCAATATTTTATGCTCATGATTAAAGATGATTAAAGAAAAGTTTAGTTTTTACAATTGTCTTAAAACTAGTCAAAGAAAAAGCTCATTACCAAGGACTATAACAATCGTCATCTTGACTGTTTTCACTTTTGCCCTAGGGATGATCCCTCGGGAACTCACTCTTCGATGTTCCCCTTCGCTAACGGGCATCCTGTATTTCATTGTGCTTCCTGAAAAGTACAACCTGTATTTCATTGTGCTTCCTGAAAAGTACAACCTGTATTTCATTGTGCTTCCTGAAAAGTACAACCTGTATTTCAATGTGCTTTCTGAAAATTACAGTAACAAGTTACAGCTCTGTAACTTTGAAAAGGCTCACAACAAATTTATAATTATTTTGTTTTTTATACTCACCGAATATTAAAACAAACTACAATTAATAATAAAATGCATTATATTTAAAGAGTGTAAAAAGTTTTACTATTATTAAGTGGTCTCTCTCTCTTTGCTAAATTGTATTTGTTACTAAAAGATATCTTTTCAAAAAATCTTTGCTAAATTGTATTTGTTACTAAATGGTATCTTTTCAAAAAATATTTGCTAAATTGTATTTCTTCCCTTTCTTCCGCTCACAGATTATCGCTGAGTTTTTTGTTCTATATTTCTCTGTTGTTGTTTTGTACTTCAGGTTCTACTTAGAAAAAAAAAACTATAGCTTTTTCTTTTCTTTGGTAAATTTTAACCAAATCGAAATAGCCTTTCAAAATTGTTTTTGTAGTATCCTATTTCTATCGGAACGATTTTCTTTTCTAGTGACAAAATACCGATTATTTTTGTAACTTATTTGTATTCAGTTTGGTTCTAAATGACATTAAATTACTATATGATTTATTAGTTTGGTTCTACCTGACATTAAATTACTGTATGATCTATTAGTTTGTTTCTACATTACATTAAAGTACTATATGATTTATTAGTTTGGTTCTGCATGACATTAAATTACTATATGATCCATTAGTTTGGTTCTACATGACATTAAAGTACTTATATGATTTATTAGTTTGGTTCTACATAATATTAAAGCTCTATATAATCTATTAGTTTGGCTCAACAAGATATTAAAGTACTATATGATTAGTTTGGTTCTACATAATATTGAAGTATTATCTGATCTATTAGATTGGTTCTACATGACGTTAATGTACTTATATGATTTATTAGTTTGGTTCTACATAATATTAAAGTTCTTTATGATTTATTAGTTTCATACTTTTTCACAAAGTTTTACAAAAGGATATCTGGGCATAGAAGTTCTTAAATCTAAACTCATAGACTAGAGGGAAGACAACTAGCCAACAGCACCTACCACCAACTCTTAATCCACTCTTCCCTGGCCGAATGAATAGTCATCCTTACAGTGCATCTAGACTCCGAAGCACAGAGTTTTTGCAGTAACTGCCCAGAAACTCGGGAGCTTCGGATTCATAGTCCAAAACGTTAACCATATGGCCACACCGTGCCCATACTATAAGGATTCAAACTTGCTTTTGTTTAAGATCTGTGTGTGTTGTGACAGTTACAATAAGTCACTATAACACGTTTTGTGAACTTATATCTGTTTTAATGAATGCATTCAAGATACTTTAAGAACTGGGAATTTTTGGTATTATACAAACTGTTTATTAGTTATTCATTAAGTTTCATAACTTCAAACAGTAACCGGTTCTTATCCGTTAAACCAATATTTTAACACAGTAAGTAAGCACAGGACACTACATCACCCAGAAGACATCTCTGGTGAACATGGTTACGCGGTTACTGCGCACGAGAAAGTGAAATGCATGTTGATTTATACGAAGTTTAGCAACGCGGGTATGCAATATTAGTTTTACATTCAGAAAACTAGGCTGAAATAGCAACCAGGTGGTGGTGTTTATATGTTTGTATGTTTGTTTCAGAGTAAAGCCGCATTGGAGTATATGCTGTGTCCACCGTGGGGAATCAAACCCTGGGTTTTAGCGTCGTAAGTTCGTAAACATAACGCTGTCTCATCGGAGGACACCAGGTGGCGAATGTGCAGCATTCATTTTAAATCCAAGAGAATAGAATGAAATATCGAACAAATGGCAAACGTGCAACATTAGTTTCAAATTTAAGAAACTACGCTAAAATAGTAGCCAGGTGGCGAATGTGCAACATTAGTTTTAAATTCAAGAAACTAGGCTGAAATACTAATTAGTCGTAAAAAGAATTATAACAACCGTACTGTTATCAAATCACGATCACCCAGATTAAAACTTTAAATCGTTTTATGTTTTTAAAACCAAATCAAGAATTTACTGTCCTCGGGTGTGCTTGTTTTTAAGACAAAGCCTAGGTTTGCTTAGAAAATCAATACCAAAGAATCTGTTCCTTCCACCTTGCTTTTAATTATACATTTCCTGGTATTTAATATTCTCCATATTTCTTGTATTAGTTACACATAACATGGAATGAAAATTAATCTAGTTTTATGTGTGGTCAGAATGTTTTAAGGGAACGTTTCTTTATAATTCAATGAGAGTATAGTTAAATTACTACTTCAAAATTTCGCATAAGGAATTCTGTTTCTAATGTTAAACAGGGGGACTAAAGAAAAGAAAACTAGACAACAGTCCCTTTATTGACAACGCTTTCGCAACTCTTGTCTGACTTGTTGTGGAGTTTGTTCATCACTCTTATGGTGCACTCAAGGCCACAATGTGCGGAATGCTTTTTGTTTTCCGGTAACGGGTAACTACACAATAAGAATCTATATAGTTTTACGTGCAGTTCAGAATTTACTTTAGCATAAAAAATTGGCTTAACTAAAGAGTTTAGAAACTTGGAGATCTGAAATTTAAATATAGATAATTTATTACTTATATACACACCACATATATATAGAGAGAGAGAGAAAGAAAGAAAATTTATGGATGGGCGTCAGCAAGCTAAATCAGTATTTGTTTACATTTGGATTAATCTCTTACTTATCGGCATAGTATTGGAAATTTTGAGACTTGAAAGGCACCCTATGTGATACAAGGATCAGACCAAAACTACTGATCGGAGAGAAACAAAACAGTGAAACAATTGGCCTCTTACGAAATCTACTTTTAACCGAATAACAGTGTTGGTAATCACGTTTACATATCGTGCCCATAGCTGAAAGTATACATCGTATTCAGCGGATCTTCTGATATGTAGTACAGCATACTTAACAACTAGACCATTTTGGACTAAAAGGTTAGATAAAGCAAATCTAGCTGCACTTCAAACACTATAATTATTACTACACCATATAACAGTGTCTTCAAAATTCTTATAAAGTCATTCCAACAAAATAATCTAAAAACAGGATTGGTTTTGTTTTGTTTTTCATTTCGCGCAAAGCTACCCGAGAGCTATATGCGCTATTCGTCCCTAATTTAGCAGTGTTAGTCAAGAGGGAAGACAGCTAGTCAACACCACCCACCGCCAACTCTTGGGCTACTCTTTTATCAACGAACTGTGGGATTGACCGTCACATTCTATTAGCCCCATGCCTGAAAGGACGAACATGTTCGGTGACGGGAGTTCGAACCTCAGATTGCTAGTCGAGCACCCTAACCACCAGGCCTCTAAAAATACGAAAGTTAATGTGATGTAAACTTAGCTTCTCGGTCTTAAAGATATCTCTCCAAGCTATGTTTGTTTACCAGGAAACTAAAGTATTGGGAAAATGCGATGACGAGACACAATTTAGTGTTTATAAACAGAAAATGATGTCGTATATTAATAAGGATGTACATATACTATAAACCTTATTATAGCATTCTCGATAACTTCACACTGAAAGCAATGCTACAACAATAATTAATTTGTAAATTTAAGTTAACGTTCTTTCGCTAAAACACGAATTATAATTCTCAATAGAGTTTAAACTTTTCCGAGTCTATCATAAGCTAACAGCTTTCTTGTTTATCTGATTTATATAATATATTTATAGTCAGTTTTAATTATTATTTAGCACCTTTTCAGAATTACACGACTTTAGTTTCCCTGATTTTGATTTCCTTAATTTGTTTTTCAGGCGACTTAGCAAATATAATTACATTCTTGTATTTTGAGCACCCTATTTTACGCCTTGCACAGTAATTATCTAAACCAGTAGGTTTTTGGTGAATGATTAAAATGATCCTGACGTCTTGTTACCTCAAATTCATATTGTAAACACATCTAAGCCTTAAGAGTAATACTAAATTCATTATCATAAATGGTAAGAGGGACATAATAATGTGCAATATAAATCTTAAGAAATTTTGTAATAATTAAAATATTTATTCATTCTTAAGGAAAATAATTTGAAATGTTTTGATATCCAAAACTACATTCTCACTTGAATACAAAAAACGAACTAAGATTTTAAACATCTAATGAAAAATTCCCATGTTTAAAGCAAACTAGCCTAACGTTTTACTGCTTATTACTTACATTACGTTCTTTATTATTAACTTAATTATCGAATTCACGACTTCTTAATCAAAACTCAAACTTTCATTTTTATAGACCATCTCTTTGTGATATGACAAGTAAAAACGCTCATTAAATGTATTGTTTTGAAAGGTTTAGGCTTAACCGAACTTATGTAATTATCAATGTAAATTAGTTCATGATGGACGAGTATTTTGCGTATTGACAAAATATATCTCGTGAATAACATGTGAAGAAATCTAGTTCGTTTGCTCTTATTGAAGGACATTTATTAGCACCCTGCAGATAAATCGTGCGTCGAATATAACGAAAAGTAACGATGTCGTCACAAAACAATATTTATTTGTAACTCCTGAAAGATAAATTAATATACACATGTACAAAACCAAATGTTGAGAAGCGTTCTACATGGAAAGTTGACTTGATCGTGATACTTTCAGGTCTTGAAAGAAAAAATTAACAATAACAGAAACTTCAATACCCAATTCTTAGTATTACGAGCCCCCATACTTACTTCTGATCCGCCAGAGGGACTCACGACATCTTCCTAAACTATTATAAAAATTATATAACTAGAATTATAAACAACACAAAAGTTGCCAAAATTCAGGATATATTAGAGTTAATATTTCAAAATTTGGCGTATTATATTAGAATTACACTGAATTGTGAGAACAGTTCAAATAGTGCACTTATAATAGAATTTTTTATATTGCAGTTTGTTTAGGATTAATTCACGAAATTATTTTGTCTGGAGAGATTATCCGTAAAAGAAATAGTATACCTTTAGATGAAAAAGTTGTTCTCTTTTGCTTGGAATAATTCATAGGTCCACTTTTGGTCCAGATAGTCCAAACGATAACAGCATAACAAATAGAAATGATAAGAGCGGGGAGAAAGAAAACTGAGATGGCCACCAGGGTGAAGTAGATTTTCCACTGCCAAGGTTGAAGTTCTGCCCAGCACTGAAACTTGCCACTTTTCTTGGATTCATTGTACAGAAACAGGGAAGGACCGGATGCCACAGCACTGAGAACCCATGCACTTATAACAAGTAGGCGAGCTCGCTTCCCTACGGGGAAAAAATTATAGAGAAAATTATCATAGCGAGAAACCCAATCTGCTTCGTTTGAAGAATATTAGATTTTACTCTTAGGAATTAGCTGATCGCTGGTACTTGAAAGGTTGAACTAACACAATGTTTAAACGATTTCGTTAGCTTAAAAGGAACCTCTCCACTCCATAATCTTTTAGTGTTTCAATGAGAGGAAGATGAAGTTATTCAATGTTCCAGTGATGTAGATATTATGTTTTCAATGTTTGAGTATTGTAGGAATCTTATTATTCAATATTTCAATAATGTGGAGATTATGTTCTCAATATTTAGGTTTTGTAGGAATCTTATTATTCAATATTTCAATAATGTGGAGATTATGTCTTCAATATTTTAATATTGTAGGAATCTTATTATTCAATATTTCAATAATGTGGAGATTATGTTTTCAATATTTAGGTATTGTAGGAATCTTATTATTATATTTCAATAATGTGGAGATTATGTTTTCAATATTTTATTATAGTAGGAATCATGTTATTTTAAGTTTCTGTACTGGAACGTGACGATCATGTTATTCAAAACTTTAGTATCATTTATTAACGTTATACACGAGAGAAGGCCATAACACAGAGAAGAAACCTACTGCTATGTTTTATACATGATATTTAGTTATTTATTCATGTTGTTACTTTATTTATTTATATATTATTATTATTATGCACCATTTTTTGACACCAAACTCCCAATATAAACAAGAGGAGATTACGTTTCTAATATAAATAAATAGAAATCATGACTGGAAATTATTGCTCAAAATTATAGCAACAGGACAAACAAATACAAACCCAGCTTAGCATAAACAAACTGGTATATAATTGCACAAACTAAGCATACTAATCCCATTTTGTAATCACAAAATAACTTGAAGATAATTTGTATATATAATGCTTCAGAATTGCGGAGATCATGTATTATGGTGATCATGTTAGTCAATGTTTCAGTATTGTGGAAATTAGTTTATTTATTTTTCGGTATTGTGGAGATATGTTAGTATATATTTCGGTACTTGGAAATCATATTGATCAATGATCTAGTATTGTTGAGATCATGTTGCTCAATGATCCAATGTTGTGAAAATCATGTTGTTCAATGTTTCAGTATTCTGCAGATCACGTTAATGTATTTCTTTTACAGAGACAACCAACTCAGTAAACTTAATCTTTCAACTCACTGCTAATCTAATATTTTTGTTTTTGACGATTCTTACAACTTATTGATGACAGCAAATAAACATAAACAAAGTTTAATAACTAAAATTTAGAATGTGGAATAATGACATTAACAAGACTATTATATTTGTTTATTGATGAAATATATAAGTACTCACATCCTCCTGAGAATTTCATGGGATTAATAATGGCGTCATAACGGTCAATACTTAACGCTACAAGGACGTACGTGGAAGAATAGGTGACCAAAATCTGAAACAAAAGGATTTATATCTAGTGAATGTTAACTTACAAGTTAGTTTTCATTATCTTAAAATTAATAAGTTATATATATATGTGTGTGTGTGTGTGTGTGTTTGCAGCAGTTTTGTTTATTTTGTAAAACAAATGCATGTCTTTCAACCCAGCTGTGAAGTTTGTTTATAAAACAAACGTATAACTTTCAACCCAGCTGTGAAGTGTTGTTTATAAAACAAACGTATGTCTTTCAACCCAGCTGTGAAGTTTGTTTATAAAACAAACGTATGACTTTCAACCCAGCTGTGAAGTGTTGTTTGTAAAACAAACGTATGTCTTTCAACCCAGCTGTAAAGTGTTGTTTGTAAAACAAATGTATGTCTTTCAATTGAAAGACATACATTTGTTTTACAAACAACACTTTACAGCTGGGTTGAAAGACATACGTTTGTTTTATAAACAAACTTTACAGCTGGGTTGAAAGACATACGTTTGCTTTACAAACAACACTTCACAGCTGGGTTGAAAGACATACGTTTGTTTTACAAACAACACTTCACAGCTGGGCCCAGCTGTGAAGTGTTGTTTGTAAAACAAATATATGTCTTTCAACCCAGCTGTGAAGTGTTGTTTGCAAAACAAATATATACGTTTTTCAACCCAGCTGTGAATAGTGTCTTGGTATGTTACAAGAAAACGGTTACCATGGTACTTTAGAAAACAAGATACAAACAAGATCAAATCTATCAGTTTTATTTCAATTTATCTGTCTGTTCGTCTATCAGTCATTCTACTTTCTGTCTATCTATCTGTTATAACACGTATAACGGAATTGACATATAAGTATTTAGTATTTCTCAAAACACCATCCGCTTTACATAAAACAATTATGTAGATTAGAAGTGGGAAACAACAAGGCTGTAGAGACAATGAAAGTTAGCCACTTGCAAGTTGTTGAATTATAAAACGAATAATTCGCCTTCGTAAAAATATAAGAAACAGACAAAAACAAACCCTGGAAAACTGAATAGTGAACAAAATCGAAGTAAAAAACAAACAGTTGTCAAGCTTTATTCTGTTCTTAAGTTTTGTTGCAAGAAAGTATACAATTGAAATCGTATATATTATCCTCTGCGAACACAAGAAACTATACAATTGAAATCATATAGTTCAAGTGTATACTTTCTTGTGCTCGCAGAGGTTAATATATATGAGTTCAATTGTACAGTTTCTTCGGTTATCAGAGGTTAACATATATGAGTTCAATTGTATACTTTCTTGGATTTGCAGAGGTTAATATATACGATTTCAATTGTATACTTTGTTGGGTTCGCAGAGGTTAATATCATATATATTAACCTCTGCGAACCCAACAAAGTATACAATTGAAATCGTATATATTAACCTCTGCAAATCCAAGAAAGTATACAATTGAACTCATATATGTTAACCTCTGATAACCCAAGAAACTGTACAATTGAACTCATATATATTAACCTCTGCGAGCACAAGAAAGTATACACTTGAACTCATATATATTAACCTCTGCGAATCCAACAAAGTATACAATTGAACTTATATATGTTAACCTCTGTGAACACAAGAAAGTCACAAAGAAAGAATGTAGTACAAGAGCATTTCTTTACTTTAAGTTCAATTAAGTAAACCCTAAATATACAGACTACTGTAATTATAGATGTGTGTGTGTGTGTGTGTGTACACATAGGTAACGGAAATGTCTAATTAACTATTACATGCTCATTTATTTATTATAATAAATACTTTGAACACGTGTTGAAGATAGTGATTCGAGAAATTGAATACGAGAATGATTTGTGCGTTTCGAATAAAAAAACCTATGAATTCCCGAAAGGATATTTTCTTAGATTTTTTTTAAATCCATATACATTAAAATTTTATTTAGATAATCTCTGGAGTCCAAAATAAATGAAATTAAAACTCTGGATTTGATATTGCACTTTTTTTCTATGATTATCTGGCTGATTGAGACTTACTGCTTAAAAAATGGAATACGGGACGGAGGTATAAAGAATTTTGGGTTTTTGTTAATTTGTAACTTCGCCAATTTTCATGTTTATACGTTGGCTTGTTATCGCTAAGTTCAATTAATTTAGAACATAATATCCCTTGTATCTTTTGAAACCTATACTTTACCAATGTAAAATCACTGCAAGGTGTTTTAATATAATCCTATTTGTAAAATACGTTAAGCAAATACAACATATTTCACATTTGTGAAATAATTTCTAACTGTACTTTAACTGTCAAATTGTTTGAAGATTAGTATTTTTAATAAACGTTTCAATGTATCTTTAAAACATTCGATATTATATTATCTATTTGTTTATAAATGAAAGTGTCAAAACGTTTCTCTAACTTAATAATGAACAATATTTATTACTGTATGCGTTTCTTTTAAAAGTGCCAATTAAATCGGTAAGCACTCAAAATAATAAACTATAATCTAAATAGGTATAGCCCCATCAGTAGTATTTGGCAAGGTCTATTCACTGTTCATACAATTTACCAGACTTGATCTTTACCTATATCTTGTCACCTGCTGACATCATTTCCGGCACATTTAATCCCTATGTCTTTTGTCTATGTAACGATACAAAAACCTTCTATTCCTTAGCACTGATCATACCTGCAGTATACAGACCAAAGTTCTGTTGAAACATGTAGTACGTTTCACCATCAATAAAACTTTTCCTTGTGTTTATAACTCGTTGTTTGCCTACCTATTATTATATTACCATAATATGCTTGCTTACTCAAAATACAAAAACCCTTGATTTTATTTTAAACTATCACGTATAACAAACAACCTTATTCCTCTGGCACCTATATACACATGATGGCGTTATCTTTACTGATTACGAAAATAATGTTCAATTCGTGTTGTTTCTTTAACTAGTATTGTTAAATTAAATTATTTTTGACAAATCACCTGAAACTAAGTAAAGTTTTCTATGAATTTTATGTCTATGTTACTACACTTCATAACTCTTGAAACACGTCACGTTGACGTTGTTTCTCGTTGGAACATAATTAATTGCTACATGCTTTTTTATTTGAACAATCCCATTTGAGTTTCAAATCTATAAACTTATCACGCCAACTCACGTTAAAAATAAAACTCCTTAGTGTGAGTAGATGGTAAAAATATTTTAAATTATGTTGAAAGCAACAAAGCTTGATTTCGTTAATATGGTGATGGGAAAAGTGTGAACAGCTAATTATATAATTTTCGATAAAACTTGTGGTAAGACGTCGTGTTTAGAGTTTGAAATGTTAGTAATGATTTCACTATTTCTGCATTTGACTAAAAGAACATTAGCATTATTCTATGAATAAAATTACCTGAGAATACATTAAATAACATGTAATTTACGTCCAGTCTTAGGAGATGAAACTGTAAGTAGGGGGGGGGAGTCTTGTTGAATCACATGCAATGGAATCGTAGAATAGATTTAATGTGTTTAATCTTTAAAATATTACAGTATTAAGTGTTTTCGTGACTGATAACTGCAGGAACAAGCTCTTTATTAAATTAACTAACAACACACTTGAAGAGTATTCATTGTTTTCTAAATGAATCGTAAATGAAGCATTAAAAACTTACTACTACTTTTTCGACTCAACTACACATTTCAGAAATATTAACATGTACACATATTTGCTGTCAAAATGCTGTTAGAACTCAGTAATGCTAATTAATATAAGGGTATACAATACTGTGTATAATTTAGAGTACATTTAGATTTCTAAACCAATTGTCAGTGATTTTGTATCAAGAAATTCTATGTCTTTGTAGAAAATAAATATATAATTTTGGTATTAAGTTTTTGTTCGCGAACACACCAGTATGGCGAGGTTATGATGTGTTAACTTGAACTTTGAAGTAAATTTGAAGAACATTTGAGTCAATAACCACATGGCCAAATCTCTATTTGTCCCCCAGTGGCACATTGGTATGTCTGTGGGCTTACAATGCTACGAACCGGGTTTCGATACCCATGGTGGGCAGAGCACAGATAGCCCATTGTGTAGCATTGTGCTTAATTGCAAACAAACCAAAGCTCTATTTTCCTGCCCAACAATGTAACTAAACTGTACTATATTGAATTGTATAATACATGTTTAAAATCTTGAAGCAGGTAAATAAGACGGTGAAAAGTACTATGCGGCATATCTCCATATGTTGAATAGATATAATAATGATTTAAATTTTTAGGTT